CACAACATCTTTGTTGGTATGTGGTGCTGAGGATCGAACCCAGGCCGCACGCATGCCAGGCGAGCGCGCTACCACTTGAGCCACATCCCCAGCCCATGTCTTCTAAAAATTTATTAGAAAAGGAAAAATAATACTCAGGGAACAGGGAAGAACATTCAGAGTTGGGAACAGAAAGTAGGGATTTCCTTTAGTTCTAAACCATAGGAGATTTCTTTATATTTCCCAACTCCAGGCATCTCCCCAACTATGTCTTCTCTCCCTTCCCAGGTTTCTGTGCATTCTCTCACATAAAGTTGGCAGGAAGACAAACATCTGACCCTAAAAGGCAATTATTGGCGTGTTAGATGTGACTTTACCATGGACAGATCTAATTATTCTTCATGGGAATGATGTTATCTTCCTACACTTGAATTTTGAAATTATTTTCTATGAAACATCAAATCTATTCAAGCCATAATTCCAAAAATATGTGTGCTTCTTTAGACTTATGATTTGAAATTTAATATTTACAAATAATGCAGACTTTATCCTGAAACTAAGTATTTCCTTAACAATCACTGCAATCCACAGAATAAGATAAAAAAAAATCTTCCCTAGAGATACTGCTTGTAAAATCAAAAAAGTATTAATGATGCAAATATATCAACTATGTAAATAAGAAGAGTTATATCAGGTAATTAAAATAGAAAATTTAAAAACCAATGCTATCAACTATGATATGTCTTTGCAGTTGTATGACTCACATTACTTTTTAGCTTAGATAGGTTTTTCTTTTTATTTACTTACATTTTTGAGATGAGGTCTCAGGTTCTCTAGGGCTGGTTTTGAATTTGTGGGCTTGAGTGATTTTCTTGCTTCAGCCTCCCAAGGAGCTGGGACTACAGGTGTGAACCACCATGCCTGGCTGCTATTTTTTAAAAAATTTATTTTGAGATAATTATAGATTTATATGAAGTTGAAAAAAATAATATTACCTTTGCCCAGTTTCCTCCAATGATAAAATTTTGGATAACTATAGTATAACATCACAACTAGGAAACTGATAATGATACCACTTTTATTCAGATTGCGTTTTACATGCATGAATCTCTGTGTGTGTATAATTTTATTGCATGTGTAGATTCGTGTGATCACCACCACAGTCAAGGCACAGACCAGGTTTACCACAAAGATCCTTCCTGCTGCCCTTTCAAAGCCATAACTACTTTCTTTCTGGCCCTCTTCCAACCCCAATGACTACTAATTTGGTTCTTCATTTCTAGTTATCATTTTGTCATTTTGGGAATGTTGTATTCATGCAAGAATATACTATTTAACCTTCTGAGATTGGCATTTTTTTCATTCAGTATAATTCCCTTGAGACCATTAGAGTTGTATCAATAGTTTGTTCTTTTTGTTCATTAGTATTTCATGTATAGATTACTACAGTTTATTCACCTATTAAATGAATTGTGGGTTGGTTCCAGATTAGGGTTGTTTAGAATAAAGCTACCATGAACATTTGTGCTCAGGTTTTTGTGTGAACATTTTCACTTCTGTGGGAAAGAGTGCAATAACTAGGCACATGTTTAGTTACATGAGACACTGCTAAACTTTTCCAGAGTGGCAGTGTCTTTTCTCATTCCTACCTGCAATATATGACTGATCCAGTTTTTTAACATCCTTGTCAACACTTGTTATCACTATTTTTAAAAGTCTTAGCCATTCTGATAATTGTTTTGACATCTCGTTTTGACTGTTATTTGTATTCAGTGGTCAATGATGTTGAACATCTTTTCATGAGCTCATTTTCCATCTACATATCCTGCTCAGTGAAATGTCCATGGCGTTGGGTCTGTTTTCTAGTTGGATTGTTAATTAAAATGTTGAGTTTTAAAGCTCTCTCTCGTTATCTAAATACATCATGTTTTGGATACACATCCTTGCAGATACTTTCAGTCTACACTTGTCTTTTCATCCTCTGTGTACAGTATCTTTCACATAGTATACATTTTAAATTTTATGATAAAATTTTCCTTTTATGAATCCTGCTTTTTGGTTCATGTTAAAGAACTCTGCTTAGATGTAGGTTATGAAGATTTTTTCCTAAAGGTTTTATGGTGTTATGCTTTGCATTTACATGTTCTGTTTTGAGTTAATTATTATGTATGGTGTAAGGACATGTCAAAGCCGCAGGATATGAGGTACTCTAATGCCATTTGCTGAAAGGCTACCTGTACTCCATTGAATTGCCTTTGATCTTTTGTCAACATCAAATACGATTTAATACACTTAGGAGGATAGTGTATTTTTACCTATTCCAATGTTCTTTCCTTCACCATACTTACTAACAGTTTGTATGGTCTTAAATCTCTGATTTAATAGCAGAAAGGCCTTATTTCTTCTTTTGGAATGATGAATGACTATTATGATGTCCACGTCCTGATGGGGCTTTGTGTGACTTTATTCCATCTTTTGCATTGAGGACGAAGCTTACCAAGTTAGAAGGCATGGTCTTTTCAATTATTGATGGTGACAGTTTTCCTCTCATTTCGGTTTGAACAAACATCACTAGTTTAGAATATGCTGGGTTTCTGTAAGCAAAGGAAAAGTTAAGATAAATAATTTATAGATTTATCTATTGAATTTGCCAGTTTATGGAAAGCAGGACTCTTGTCTTATTCACCATGGATTCCTTTCATAGTGCTTATGATAGGCTAGTTACTGAAAGAAGTGGCTGGAGTGGGGGGTGGGGTGGAGGGGGATGATAGAGTGATTTGTAGTCACATTCTTTTTTTTAAATATTGTTTTAATTGTAGATGGACACAATACCTTTATTTTATGTGGTGCTGAGAATCAAACCCAGTGCCTTACACATGCAAGGCATGCACTCTACCACTGAGCCATAATCCCTGCCCCTATAGTTACATTCTTATAAATAAAAATTTACTTAAAAATATTAAGTACTTAGAAAATATATTAAAATCTTCAACAGAATATATATTAAAATCTTTAGCTTTAGGCATCTTTTCCTTTTTGTCATTTTATTGACTTTTAAAAATAATATGCATATAATTTAAAAATTATATGCATTTGTCAAATGTATATATATATATATATACAGTTTTTTTAAAAAAATGAGACATATTTATTTTTATGCAACTAGTTTTATTTTCTTCTTAATAGAATATAGAGCATTTTCATCTGCATTTTTACTTATAGATCTGTTTAATTTTTTCCTTTGGCCATCTATAATATTTTGTACTCAGTACTCCTTTTATAGACTATCATTTTGGTTTTTTCTTACTTTTTCTACTATAAATAAAACTGCAACAAAACATCTTTGTGATGTATCCAGTCACACTTTTATTAGTACTTAGAATATCTGGGTTGATCATTTAACATTTGGATGTGCTATTTTCAAATTGCCCTCTAAGAAGACTAGTATTTATAATTGTTTGTTTTGTTTGTGGTGCTGGATATTGAACCCAGGGCCTTATACATATCAAGCAAGTGAATGATCACTGAGTTTATACCCCAGCCTTTTTCATTTTTATTTTGAAATAAGGTCTCCCTTAAATTGCTCAAGTTGACCTTGAACTTGCAACCTCCCATTCTCAGGGTCCTGAGGAGCAAGGGTTACAGGCATGAGTCACCATGTTAAGGCAGAGCACTAGTATTTTATATTCAACCCTGAGATCTTCAAACTGGGGTATGAGAATTTGAATATTTATTTTTTTTTTGCACTTGAGATTGAACTGAAGGGTGCTTAACTCCTGAGTCACATCAAATTTAGAATTTTGATTTTTAGTTTTTAGTTTAAGACAGGGTCTTGCTAAGTTGTTTAGGGCCTCACTAAATTGCTGAGGCTGGACTCAAAACATGTGATCCTCCTGCCTCAGTCTCCTGAGTTGCTGTGATTATAGGCATGTGCCACCACATCCAGCTTGAATACGTTTAAGGGAATAAAATTTCAAATTTTTAACTTAATTTGATCTCAGAATATGTCTTTGATGGAGATGTGGGCTTGTTGTTTCCCATGACCTGTTTAAAATAACTCTTTCCTTGCTTTACAGAACAAAGGCTTGTTTGTCATCCACATTGAAAAGTCCTGGATAGTCCCCTAGTACTTTATTGTGGCATGTGAACGTCTTCAAGGTGCTAATGAAAAATTAATTTATTGGAAGTGAGTTGAGAAAGTGAATGACTAATGATTAGATAATAAATCTTTTCTAATATCCTCATTAAAAATATTTTTGATAGGTATATGATTCATGATATAGGATCCAGAAGGATTTCAAGGCATAGAATGTAATTTATATTCTTTTCATCTTAACCTATTTATTTATGTAAATAAAATTTCTCATTTCTAAACCAGGCACAGTGGGGCATGCCTATAATTCCAGTTATCTGAGAGGCTGAGACAGAAGAATCACAAGTTGGAGACCAGCCTGGACCTGCAAAGCCCTGTCTCAAAAAAATAAAAAAAGGCCTGGGAAAGTAGCTCTGTGGTAAAGTGCGCCTGGATTCAATCTCCAGTACCAGGGCAAGGGGTAGGGGAAAGGAGTTTCTTAATTCTCAGATTTTTATTTATAAAATGAAAGTAAGAATAGACTTGATATTGAAAGTTGCCTCACTTATTAGTAATATCCATTCACAGTTAAACAAAATGAGGTAGCAGAAGTCTGTCTTAGTTTGAAACTGAGCTTTACTATTATCTATGTGTAACCTTGAGAAAGTTAATCTCTGGGTTTCCACTTTATATTCTATGAACTGGGCATAGGAATATGACCTATTTCTGTGGACACTTTGAGGATAGAAAAGAGTCAATGTGGGGCTGGGTTTGTGGCTCAGAGGTACAGCGTTCATCTAGCATGTGTGAAACACTGGGTTCAATCCTCAGCACCACATAAAAATAAAATAAAAGTATTGTGTTCACCTACAATTAAAAGACAAATTGTTTATAACAATGCCTGGAAATAGTGCAAAGTTTTTCTAATAAACTGTTTCCATAGAAGTTTATGCTTAGTAAGCGTATGACAAAAGTTAGAATTAGAATTTTGATTAATGTGTAATAATAACAACTTAAAAAAGAAGGCATTTTTTTAAAAAAACTTATGTATACTATGTTCACAGAAATAAAAACAAATTAAAAAACTTAAATCCATGTATTTTTGTAGAAAATTATGATAGGGTGATTAAAAAAGAATTCAAAGCCTAAAATCTATTCCATTAGGATGTGATTATGTGAGGGGAAGAATTTAATTTAAATTGAGGTTAAGGAGGACATAAAATTTCTGACTGCTATAGGTTGCATTTGTGATGGATAAGGGAATGGTAGGTTTCAAGTTGTTATGGTATTTAGAATCTATAAGATACATTTTTAAGGGAGTTATACCCTTTTCATAAATTTAGTCCTATGAAGAAATTGAATGTGAACTTTAAAACATGCAAGGGGAAATACAGTTTTATAAAATTCTTTTGGGCAATATGAAGACTGCTGCGCTAACCAATGTGTGAGTGTCCGTTTTCTCAAACTCTTCTCTATTCAGAGCTTAGACTATTTTTTACAATGCCTGAAATGGCTCGATTGCCAAGTACTTACTAGCAGTTTGTATGGCGCTCAAATCTCTATCTGAATTTACTGTGGATTGATACACATAAGGAAGCATTTCCAGTATTTACTATCAAGTAATTTACTGCTGATGATATGTTTTACAAGTGACCTGCATGCCTTGTTCACAAACGTAGGCTGACCAAAATACTGGGCTTCATAGAAAGAGAAAGTAAAAAAAGAATCTTTTAAAAAAATCTTAATTAAAAAAAAATCAGTATCTTTCCTTGAATCTGTGAATGAGACTGTATGTATCCTACTCCAGCAGGATGGGAGGCCAAGTTCTCACCCAGAGCTTTGGCCCCTGGTTTCTGCAGTGGAAAGTTAAGAGTGACAAGGTGCAAGAAGGGTGCTTGCCTGTGAAGCACACTTTAGAATGTATAATTTCCCAAATAAAATCCCTGCTGATAACAGATTAACTCACTGATTTAAAGTAATACTTCTTTGTTTTGTTCTCTCCTGCTATGGTGAATAAAATCTGGGCCATACATTTAAAACAAATGAGTGGAAAGAACACACATGATTTTTATTGTCATTTATACCAATGATCTTGTCAATTATTGTTAAAAAATAGTTTTTTAGTTCTCCAATTCAGTACAGGAAACACTGAGGATCATAGGTCTAACAATTTGTTTTATTTTAGCTTTTATTGTATGAATACAAAGTTTTACACTTATTTTTATGTGACAATACCTTCTACTTAATAAGAAATCATTAGGCATAAATTAAAGCTTAAGGAATTTGTGAAATGATATATGTTGAAATACAGTTCATGTTTTATATTACCTCTTTATCCCTAGGCTGGCCACCGGTCAGCAGTAACCTATCTCTGATTTCTCCAGCTTTTCCCTTATCTGAAGGTACCTATTTGGATGTCTCATTGTATAGGTTGTCTGCTGGAGCAAGGCAGTCCATTTGAAAAAATTCCTTTAAGATAAAGCAATCATTGCTGGTAAATTTCAAGGGAATTTATTTCAAATTCACAAGACTCCCTAATAATTTATAGAAGTGAGTAATGGAGAAATGGAGAACATCAGGGAAAGTTGAACCACAGGGGAATGTTTGTATATATTTGACTAATCCCAGAAACCTCAACTTATATTTTACAGCAAATTGCCCATTCTGATCATACTTCAGATGAAAATAAGGTTTAGAAAAGTTGTTTTAGGCTGTTGGAATTTTTTTTCAAATTTGTGTATGTGACTGCAATAGGAGCATAGGACTGTAGAGGAAGCAGATACTTAGACTTCAGATTAATCCTCACTGATGTTAGATCCAGGTTCCCACCCAGAAGTAAGCAATTTCAGAACCATAAGAATTGTCATTAAAATTGTAAATTGTAGAAAAAATGTTATTTTAAAAATGGCACGTAGGGATAGTTTTTTTAAACAAATATTTTTTTTAGTTGTAGGTGAACACAATACCTTCATTTTATTATTTTTATGCGGTGCTAAGGATCAAACCCAGTACCTCACACGAGCTAAGTGAGCACTCTACCACTGAGCTACAACCCCAGCCCCAACAATCCCCTGCCCCCAACAGAATATGCTGGCACACATTTCTACTGATGAACAGGAATACTGAACTAAATCACAAGTTGAACTACAAAAAACTGCTAAAATACGTAAATGCAAGTAACACTTACTCTTTCAGAGGTGAACATACATAGCCACAAGGATGGTTATAACCTCGGACATAATTTGAAGATGGAGGATATTCTGGGAAATCCACACTTTTAGCTAAGAGATTAAAAAATATTAAAATTAAACCTAATTCACAAAGATAAAACTATTGCCAGAAGCATATTTTAGAAATATATAACATTTATTTTAATTTAGTTATTATCAACATTAGCATTAATTTTATAGGTATATACATTTGCAATAGTATTTCTAAACATGCTGTTATCTTTTTGTTTTTAATTTTTAATTTTTTTAATTATAGATGAACAAAATATCTTTATTTTGTTTTTATTTTTATGTGGTGCTAAGGATTGAACCCAGCGCCTTACATGTGGGAGGAAAGTGCTCTCCCCACTGAGCCACAACCCCAGATCCCTGCTATTATCTTTATTACTTTTAACAGTTTTTCTTGTATAAAAATTACTTTCTGATATTTGAAGCAAAAGAAGAAATAGCAAAAAGACCATTAATGTCATGGTTTGAATTATTTTTTTGTTAATTAAAAAAATAAAATGTTTAAAGTGACTAGTTTAAAAATGCTCTCTTTTGTTAATTCCCTATAGCTAACTGCAAAGTATAAAGATTAGTAGAATTTGTTCTAGTAATTATACAGAAAAGTATCTAAATTGTATGTAAATGCAGACAGAAGTAATTTAATTATGATTTAATTTATGGCTATATATACTCTTTCTAAAATCTTTTTTAAAAAATAGGTTTATTTGGGGGCTGGGGTTTTGGGTCAGCGGTAGAGCGCTTGTCTAGCACATGTGAGGCACTGGGCTCGATCCTCAGCACCACATAAAAATAAATAAAATAAAGGTATTGTGTCCAACTACAACTAAAAAAAAATTTAAAATATATGTTTATTCTACACAACTAAATCCTGTTCTTGTCAGAGGTGGTTCATTTTATTATGTGATTTGAACATAAGCAATATATGGGAAATACAATCTGAAACAAGTTTAAAAGCCTATATGTTGAATGAATTTTCCATTTTTTGTATAATTATCTTAACAGAGACTATTAGATTGGCCTAATGGTACTTATAGAAGTAACAGTAAAATATTTTTCTCTATTTAAAATATGAAGATTATATTTGTATTTTGTTTTCAAAGAAATAAGTCTACAAACAGGCATGCATGTGTTTTTTATGAGGTACACAGTATGGTAGTCAGCACTTTTTGGAAAATCAGACCAGAGGTTTTTATTTCTGGTTCAGCTGCTTATTAGTATGCAACTTAATTTCCTAACTGCTTAACTTCTGTGAACTTCAGTTTTGTCAATAATGAAAATGCATGCAAAATATTTAGCTCAAAGCAAGGTTCAGAGTAAGATAAATAAACACTAAGAAAATAACCCACAAGTATTCATCAAAAATTCATTCAATAGAAACTTCTTATAGCAAATTCAGAAGTGATTTCTGCACTAAATGACTGATTACCTTTAGTTGTTGGTTTTACCCTCTGTGCTTTTAAAAATTTCTATCTGATCACTAACAGATAGAAATGGTCTGATATCTAAATATAGAAAATAACAGATTCAGACAAGACAGCATTTTGTATTGTAGGTAATTGATACATTTTATGTTCTGTCATTTCAAAAATGAGATAAAAATATGTGAAGATGATAAACATCAGCTCTTAGTGGCCTGCTGCAAAACAGAACAAAATGGGTTTGAGTGACTGGGCAGAGTAACTGAAACTTTGTTGGGAAATGCTAATTAAACATAATTGTCTCTATCCCCACAGTAGAGGAAACTATTCAGAAAAGAATGGTAAAATTAAATCAATTACAAAGAAAACCAGGGATCTTTGCCACTATTCTCCCAAAGTCTCTCCACCATAAGTTATTAATGTCTACCACAACTTGGTATGTTTTGAGTCAATAATGCAAGCAAGGAAATGGTTACACATTCACATTTTACAGAATTACATATTTGCAAAGGAGATACTAAGCATATATCAAGGTCTTCAGTTTTTAAAAGAAATTAAAGCACATTTATGTAATGACCCATCTAATGGAAATTTCTTCAATAGTTACTTCAATCAGTTACTATATATGGCCATTTTAAGAAATTGAAGTATAAAATTATATATCCAAAAATTAATTTTGCTTCTATGATTTAAAAAATGTATATCTTGAAATTTTAGTCTATAGGCACCTCTATCTATGAAGTCCTACAGGGTTTATGCTGTAAAAGTCCAGGAGATGATATAATCATTGACTATTATATACATGACACCTCCTAAGCTGGGTGAAATGTATGATTTATCTACTTGATACATGTGTGTATTTGTCCTACTGAGTAAATAAAACATTAAAAGAAATAGCTGAAAATAAGAGTTTCTTCCTAACTGCAAATTAAAGGGAAAAGTTTTATTAATGACTCATTGTAATTCCAAGATGTGAGCAAAACATTTCAACTTACAACTGATAATGTTCATGTTCCCTTCGCAGCGCTTGATGTATACTAAGTCGATAAAGTCTCGGGGGGAAATGGAGCCCATGGCAAAACTTTGTGTTATGGTATGACATATAAATGTGTCCTGCAACAAATCAAATCACAAAGATTGCAAACATTATTTAATATTTACCATTTGTATTGTTCCCCAAGGAACTGTATTGAACATGTTGCATCTCTATTTGGAAAAAGCAAGGCTTTGCAGTTTTCAGATCATTATCATCAAATCAGCTTGCATTTTCAGTGTTGAAGGGGCATGAGATCTACAATAATGAGTGTAGAAGATTCAGGGAGTACTTAAGATTGTCTACTCTTTCAATTTTTAGATGCAGAAATTGTAGCCTAGCAGATTAAACCATATACAGGATAAGGGACAATTGTAGAATTAAAATCCAGGGTTTCTGATTCCTAGTTTGGTATTATTTTTACTACTCTATATTGGTCAGGTAATATAGCAATTTATATTTACCAACCCTGCTATAAGACCTAAAATTAGAGACCAATATCATGAACTACCTTGATATCTGGGGAAACTGGGAAGGTCCTGAATGGCATCACTGCAAGTTCCTCCCTTACTCTGTTCCTGCAGGTAAGCACCCCAGCCAAATACCCCTCCTTAAAGGACCAGCAGTTACCACTTATTCCTGTTTAGAGCATTTAACTTCCCTGCTGGCCCAAAGAATTATTCAATTATTCAATCATAGCTACCTGCAGGAACTTCACCTCATCCTCCTCACACTATAAAGCCTGCCTCCCACAGCCTCTATTTAAATCTGTTCCCATGTTGTCCTGAGTGGCATTGTGTGTCCTCTTCTTGGTCTGTGATTAATGATTAATAAACCACTATCTATATCATTTGTTCAGTGTCAGGAAATATATATGTTTGGCCATCCCCATAGCCTTAGAGGTAGAATTCCTCCCTATCCAGGAAGTGACTAGCAGACTATTAAAACACTCGTGGAAAGGATAACTAGAATTACTTATAGGAAGGTAAATTAATTTTGTTTGTGGTGTGATATTATTTATGACACTATGGAATACTGACCAGAGTGGGCATGGAATTTGGAATTAGGAAACCAATTGCAAATCCAGTAACCTTGGGCGAATCACATAATCAATCTTTCTGTTTTCAAGCTTTTTTTTTTTTTTTTTTGGTACCAGGGATTGAACCCAGGGTCACTAAGCCATTGAGTCACATCCTCAGCCCTTTTCTCTTCTATTATTATTATTATTTTATGTTGCTGGGGATTGAACCAGGGCCTTGTGCATGCGAGGCAAGCACTCTACCAACTGAGTATATCCCAAGCCCCCAAACAGATTCTTAAGAGGGAAAAAAACAAACAGTAACATAAATGGAGAATAAATTTTAATATATCACAGTAAGAATTGTTTTTCATTTTGGGTGCTTGCTTTTATAGCAGTTTTAATGAGTGAGAGATCTGTCGTGTGCTGCATGAATGTTAAGAGTCCTCTACGTTGCTTGTCTCCCCTTGTTTCTACCTGTTTACCACGTATCATTCTTTCTCTATGTCATCCCCTCCTGATCTTTTTCACCTTCCTGATTTTTTCTTCCACCCCTTTTAAACTACTCGCCTCTCATGTTCACTCTTCCTCTCACTTGTCTTCAACTTTCTACTGTGATCACCTATGTTTTTCTGTTCTTTTTATTATCCCTCTTCATATCTAGTTAACTAAGATAATGTATTTGAAAGTATTTCTAAACTGTAGCCTTTTATGTAATGATGCTTCTTTGCTTTATATTTTATCTTTAGTCCTCAGTGCTATATGCAGTTTGTTTGGAAATCCTAATAGCAGGTATCTGCATTGTTCCTGTTTTGTAATGTAATATTATTAAAATATGTCTTGATTTCCATGCAGGAATGCTTAATTTTTGTTTTCTATGTCATGGAGGTAAATTCCCGAGAGTTCAGATCCCTAATAACAAAAGGTACAAGAGACTTTGCCAGATTCAAAATGTGATATGTATTTACAAACAGAATGATGTTAATTGTAATTAAACTCTTGATTAATAAGGAGAAAAGTTTTTAAGAATTTTATAAAAACTTTCACTCATTTGAATCTATAAATACTAAATGTCTACATACATTGTTTCAATAAACAAATCAGTAAGATATAAAACTAAAGATGCATTGACACAGAAAAGTCTAATATTAAAAAAATAAATTACCGAATCAATCCTGTGTATCATATTGTATACTTTCAATGCTTTATCCCATGCAACCCTGTTTCCAGGTTGGTAGAGGAAATCAGATAGTTTAAATGTTGATTCTGGAATTATCCCTTCAACACGATATCTATAGTTAACAAGATAAAAAAAATTTAATACTTAAGTTTAAGCTGAAAATAAGCTGCTATCAAATTTGAAGACAGGCAAATTTAAGGAATAAAAAACCTGAAGGTAATATACATTGAGTATTACCTTATCTGAAATACTTGCAACTAAGATTTTGGATTTTTTTCAGATTTTGGAGTACCTGCATATACATAATAAGATATCTTGGGGGAAACCTAGTTGAAACACAGAATTCATTTACATTTCCTATATACCTTATACACATACTCCTGAAGGTGATTTGTGTGTGTGTGTGTTATGTTACTGGGGATTAAACCTAAGGCCTCACACATGCTAGTAAGTGCCCCACCACAAAGCTGCATCCCCCGCCCTTTTTACTTTATTTTGACATAAGGCCTCACTAAGTTGCCTAGGCTGGCTTTGAACTTGGAGCCTCCTGCCTCAGTCTTCCAAGTCACTAGGATCACAGGTGCTGAATATAATGTAACACAATATTTTAAATAATTTTGTGAATGAACAAAGCTTCATGGTATGAAGTTACCCACTCATGGTATCATGTTTTGTGCTCATGAAGTTTTACATTTGGAATATTTCAGGTTTCAGCCTTGAATTACAAATTTTCAACTTGTGTCAGCAATTTAGTACACTAATATCCAACTGGAAGTAGCAATGCTTACTTAAACGTGTACTGCAATAATTGTATTTCCAAGTTAATTTTTCTACTAATTTTGTTTGCAATATTTTAATGATTATCTTTTTTAAAGGGTTGCTTTTATTTATGGTTTTCTGAAGTCTTTTCACTAACATTTACCTGCTGTTTTTATCATAAGCCAATGATCATTGATGAGAAATTTGTGTAGTTTATAACTCACGGCTCTTATTTTTATTATTTATTTATTAATTTTGGTACTGGGGATTGAACCCAGGGGCCCGCTGAATCACTAAGCCACACATCCCCAGCCCTTCTTAAATATTTTATTTAGAGACAGGGCCTTGGTGAGTTGCTGAGGCTGGCTTTGAACTCAGGATCTTCATGCTTCTGCATCACAAGCCACTGGGATCACAGGCAGGCGCCATTGCATCTGGAGTCCTGACATTTAAGAACATAATATGGTCTAGAGCAGGGTCAGTAGGCTCTTCAGTAGAGGTCTGGATGGTATATAATGAGCTTTGCAGGTCACATTCAACTAGTGTAGAGGTAAAGTGTAGTGCAGAGGTAAAGCATCCATAGATAACATAATGAATGGATATGGCTGTGCTCTAAGCTTCATAGATTTTGAGTTTTGAATTTCATTAATTTTCACATGTAAGGAAACATTCTTGTTTGATTTTGTTTCATCTATGTGAAAAATATAAAAGCCATTCTTAGTTTTAAGGCAGCAGTCCAGATGTATTCTACTTGCAGTTGTTTGTCAACCACTGGCCTAAAGGAACTAATACTGTTCTGAGAGTAAATTCAAGCTTACCATCAACAACATGGGAAAATAAACCTTCGTGTATGTTTGGCTGTATACCAATGAAATTAAGACAGTGTGAAAAAAATGAATTCAAGCTCAATATTAACAGAAGATTGACAGATGAAAATAAAGTCAGAACAGTGTGGGTCACACTTTCTCCCTTTGTCTTTCTTTTCAAAGCAAGGGAATAAGTTTAAGAAAAATCAAACTTCTAAACTTTGAAAAATTTAAATTTCTTCAGGAAGTGAGGTAAAAAATAATACTATTACTATAGAAAATAGTTGTTATATTTGTAAAACATTATTACTCTGAGCCTTTGCTTTTATACTTTGGTAAGCAAGGAATTCATTAGACTACTTCTCTGTATGTGAATTTTTCTCTAAAATTTTAGTTGAAGCCAGGCTTGGTGGCATAGGCCTGAAATCCCAGAGAATTAGATGCTGAGGCAGAAGGATTGCAAATTTGAGGCCAGCCTGGGCAATTTAGTGAGACTCTGTCTTAAAGAAAAAGAAAAGAAAAAAGCCAGGCATGGTAGCATATGCCTGTAATCCCAGTGGCTGGGGAGGGTAAGGCAGGAAGACTACAAGTTCAAAGCCAACCTCAGCAATTTGGCAAAAGTGTAAGCAATTTAATAAGACCATGTCTTAAAATAAAAATAAAAAAAGTGCTGGGGATGGGACAACACAGTGGTTAAGTGCCCCTGGGTTTAATCCCTAGTACCAAAAAATAAAAAAAATAAATAAAAAGGCTGGGGATGAAGTTCTCTGGTAGAGTTCCCCTAGGTTCAATCCCCATAAAATAAAATAAAATAAATAAAAATTTAATTAAAATTGTTGGTTTCTAATTTTTTTCTGTGAGCTATTTTCAAATTCTTTCATGTAAATGTTCCTTCCTTCAGATCAACAAAGTTTTTTTATTTTTGAAAAAGTATGAATTAATGTTAAGTAGGTGTCTTACTTTAAGACTTCTTTAAATCTTAAGAGTCAATCTCCAAGAAGAGACTGTATGGAGTGTTTTGAAAATTTATTTGACCCTGCAAATCATTTTTACCCTGCAGTGCTTTTTGACAGTTTACATTTCTCCCAGACTCTAGTTTGGCAAACCATATTGGACAACAGTATATATATCATAGGTATATAATGTTTATGTCTGGTTACTCATTCTAAATTCAAATGTACATGTTTCTTACTTTGATTATTTGCAGTTCTTTTAAACTGTGAAGATGTGAAGCAATGGAAAAATGTAAGTTCCCTTTGATTGGTGGTAGTCTCACTTTCTTGCTCTCCTCTGGGTAATGTAAACTTTCAAATGAGGCATACCAACTTGGCCAACATGCCCAACTTGATTTTCTTTGTTAGCACCTAAATATATGCCATAACTAATAAAAATATAAATATATATATATATATCAACAAGTATAAACTGCACCAATCATACTCTTTCTGGACACAACCAAAGAAAATTTAGAAGAATCAGTGGGCTGTGATTGAAAAACATGCATGCAAAATTAAGTTTCATGTACTTTTTATTAATTTTAGTTTTGAAATATAATTAGAGAAGGGTTTGACAAATCCACTGTGCAGTAAGCAGCCTCTAAAACCTCCCCAATAAACCCCACCTCCTGATACTGACACCCTGAGTAATCCCCTCCATTTTGAGTCAGAACTGTATGTGGTAATTCACTTAATATTGCAAATGTGATGGGATGTAACTTCTAAGATTAGGTTGTGGATTAAGTTGGCTTTTATCTTGTTTGCTCTTTCTATTTCTTGCTCTCTCCTAGATCCCTCACTCTGAGGTAAGTAACCTGTCATGTCTTTTTTTTTTTTTAAGTTGTTGATGGATATTTATTTATTTATATGTGGTGCTGAGAATCAAACGAAGTGTCTCACACATGCTAGGCAAGTGCTCTACCACTGAGCCACAGCCACAGCCCAACCTGTCATGTCTTAATAGTTCTATGGAGAGGCCCAGAGATCAAATAACAAAGAAGGTTCTAGCCAAGAACCATCAAGGAACTGAGGCCCTCAGTCTAACAAGCCCACAAGGAACTAAATTTGTGATACTATGTGAATGAGCTTGAAAATAGAGTTTCCCTTAACTGAACCTTCAAGTGAGCCCTAGGCCCCAGCTAATATCTTAGGGACACTTTTGAGAAACTCTCTGATATAGAGGAATCAGGCTAAGCTGTGCCTGGAAAAATGTCTAAGATACTAAATTATAGTGTAATTTGTGCATCAATATATAACTGGTACACAATGCACATAAATTCCATTCAAAATGTGAGTACAAGTAATTGTTTAGCTTTGCATCAGTAAAATATCTCTGATAAAAAATTTCAATAAACCTTGAAACAGAGAGTTTGAAACAGCCTAAGGGAGGCTATTTGACAGGATCTAGGCATTATATATAGTACCTTGCTTAAATAAATACTCCAGACATATTTGTAGACTAAATGAACAACTTTCAAGGTTTCTTTGATGCATAGGTTTCTGCCTACATTGGTTTTGTCTGAAAGGTAATAAAAAGTCACATGATCCAAAAATTTATTTCCTTGGAGGGCCTAGACTTGACTGTACTCATTCTTTGCATCATTGTTTCTATAAGTGCCACTTTAGTCACTAATTATTTAGATAACAGGAAGGCAGTATTTTTCTCATAACTGTTAAAAATGAATGGGAAAAATCATACCAGCTTTGTCCAATAGTAGAAAATTAGATGTACAAGATACATTTTAGTAAGCAGTTCAAAGGAGTGGATTCTAAATGAAAAGGAATTGAATAAAATTTGGTCTTCTCAACAATACATGATGATCTGAAGAAATTGATGTGATATTATAAGCAATAAGTGAATAAAGAAGTTAGAAAATGTCAGCACAATTTCCCTTAATGTGCTTGCATATGAAGTAGTAGGATCCTCAAATATTTCCTTAAAAGCAACCTCTAGAAAAAACTTGCATTTATCGGCAAGAGATATAAACTGAGGAAGAAAACTACTTTTTATGATTCATTTAAAAGGAAAGGTGAAAAGTTTAGAAGACGATAAAATACTACTGCTAGCTAAAAAATACCAATGTGCTTTTATAGTAATTATTTCTTGAAGAGCAAACTTCCAATATTCATGAATTATTCAGTAGAAGGGATTTTTTTTTTTTTGGTTGTACTAGGAACTGAACACAGGGTCTTGTACATGCCAGGCAAGTGCTTGACCGCTGAGCTACACACCCAGTTCAAAAGGATTTATTTATGTTTTTGCGTGATTATCTTCAGGTGTAAAGATAAAGGATGAGACGGTATATAATTGGTTTATTATATTAATACTACATTTCAGCCTATTGAATAAATAATGTTTCTTGATCATTATCACATAATGTTGTAGTTAATGAAGCAGAATTAAGTTCCAGATAAAATAATGCCATTGAATTTAAAAAAATGAATGCAAATAGGAACATGTACTCACAGATTTCCGAGGAATTTTCTAGATGCCTTACTGGAAACAGTTATCTTTTTCTCAAAGGGGAATAAAAATCCAGAAATAAATTGTCAATTATAGAAAAAATATATTTTTCTGCTTCATAAAATAAAAATATTTAAAAAATATTTTTTATAGTAAATTCTCAAAAAACAAATTCTTGAAATATATTTAACTTTTCTTACTGAAATTTTAACCACTTTCCAGCCGGATGTATCTTGATTGTAACTTAAAACTTCTTGAGCAGTTTGTTGGGCAATTGCCTTATAGTCCATCTATCTGTAAAGTTTTAGAAACAAATGATTGATAAGAATATAATCATATGAAAACTTTGTTTTCTCTTGTTAACCAAGTTGCTCAGGTTCGTCTTCAACTCATGGGCTCAAGAGATCCTCCTTCCTCACCTCCCAAGTAGCGGGACTACAGGTGTGTATACCTAGCTCACCTATAAACTTTTAAAATGCTACATTCTGGGGGCTGGGGTTGTGGCTCAGAGGTAGAGTGCTCGCCTAGCATGCGTGAGGCACTAGGTTCAATCCTCAGCACCACATAAAAATAAATAAAGATATGTGTCCATCTCTGCCTAAATAAAAAAATTTAAAAAATGCTACATTTCATTTTAATATAATTTCTATAATACCTGTCACCTAGCAATGCAACATAATTACTTGTTGATTGCATGCATGGGTGAATCCCTTTCTGTTTTATAATCTTTCAAATGAGAAACTGTGGTAATAGTAGGAAAAGCCAAAATTTTGCAAACACACACACCTGAATTAAATCTTGTTTCTGCCATTTATTTTGTAAAGCATGTTACTTAATATTTTTTTTTTTAAATTTTCCTCTTGGTGTAAAATCGAGATAATATCTATTCTGTAGAATTAGCATAAGGATTAGATGAGATTGTATTTCAGTGTCTGTTATATAAGAGTCATTCAATAAATCATTATTATTTCTAACACTGCTGTTCATGTGCTCTTGGGAATTGACTTTTTAAAAATGAGTGGCAGTGACACTAAATGATTTGATCCTTTGTTTCCTGTTCACTTAGCTACAAACATACTGACCTCCTGGCTGTTCCTTAAATATACCCAAGCAACTTTGTACCTCAGGGTCTTTGAACTTGCTATTCCCTCTGCTTGGAAAACTCTTCTCCAGTGTGTTTACAAGACTGGTGTGGTTTGATTGGTGTCTTTCTTTAAATGCCACTTCATCAGAAAGAATCAGATTTAAATCTATTCAATTTAAACACATTTACTGAACTGCTACTTGAACTTAGGAACTGCAATGGAATGAATGCTTTTGTCTCCCTAGAAATTCACATGTCAAAATCCCAACCTCCAATATGATGTTATTCGGAGATGGGACCTTTGGAAGGTAATTATTAGTCATGAGGACAGAGACCTCATGAATGAGACTATAGTGTCCAAATAAGAAATCGCAGAGTTCATTTGCCTTTTCTGCCATGTGAGGACAAAGCCAGAAAGTGACAGCCGAAAGGTGGCAATATGCAACATGGAAGAGGGCTTTCACAAGAAACCAATCATGATGGCAGCCTCATCTCAGGCTTCCAGCCTCCAAAACTGTGAGGAACAAATTCATTTACTGTTTATGAGCCACCCAGTTTATAGTAATCTTGAAGCAACTTAAAGGGACAGCGGTAGGAATAGCAAAGAAGTTGAGTAACATAATGTTGTTCCTGTGAATTGAGTTCAGGAAGCTGTAGACTCACTGGCCCTTCTACCCATCAAACCAGTTTTCAGTTAGGGAAAGCTGACAGGTATGGTGCAAAGAATCAAAAACAGCTGGACTCAAATGCTAACCTTGCCACTTATCAGCAGCTGTATTTTTGAATAAGTTGCTTAATTTTAACTTAAATTTCCACATTTATAAGTTGGGATAATAATACTTATCCCATGGAGTCTACAAGGATTAAGTGCATTAATGTACGTAGAAGTGCCTGAAACAATGAGGGCCTTGTGATAATTGACCAAAAGGTTAGTGTCTTTTCTTAAAATGGACACACTTAACATCATCATTAATTTTTTTCAAAACGCTGCCTCCTTGAGCACATTAATAAACCATCTTAAGAGTTTTAATTATCATGTTAAACCTCTTCGAAAACTCCTTATGTTGGATCATAAATTTATTTTCTTGTTTAGTTCTCCAGCAAGGCACAACAGATAGATACCTTTTTTTTATATTAGAAAAGCTTTACTAAACCATTATAACCTCCTCTTTACTTCTAGTAGATCCTTGTTTCTTTACCTTTCCTAACAAATCTAGTCCAGAATTTTAGCAGTCATTGGGACTCTTCTCCAAATCCTCATAGAAACCTCCATATCTGTTAACCTGGAAGGAAACAAAGTGAAAGAGAATTACTTTGATCCATGAATTAGGTCAATATATTTGATAATTTCCTTCAAATATTCTCAGTGTCCTTCATTTATACTTTGTGTGTTTGTTAGGAAATTTTGCTCTATATGACCCAAGATAGAAGAAAAAGTTAGTACAAGACACTTTAAAGATACTGTTTATGAAGAGCCTTTGGAAACTAAAAACAAAAAAAAAAACAAAAAAACAAAAAAAAACAGATTATAAAATATTTAGTAGAATGTAGATTTTTTTTCTGAATAGATTTTAATTAAAATTATGAAAGTAACTGTGGCATAAACTTTTTCTCCCCTAACTCATCACCAATGAAATCTCCTCTTTAAGCCCAGTTTGGTCATTTGTCCTAATTTTTTTAAGCTCATGCCATTAATTGTCCTTGGCTGATCCCTGACCTGGGCTTTTCCTAACATATAATTATTTTCTATCAGCGACCTTACTTGACATTGATTGATCTAAAAATTTCAGATTATCACTAGCTATAAACTCCTGCAGAGACTGTCTTATTGTTTTCTTATCAATAACTCTTATCAATTAAATTGAGTTTAATCGAACCACTAAACTGAATTTTATAGCTTCTGGACTTTTATTTGCTAAAAGAAATGGGAAGGCAAAGTTTAGCAGGTGAGAGAGGCTAAGGCCTCGGGACGCCTCAGCCTGGGGAAAGCAGAAACAGCCAGCAAGACTTCAGTGGTGTTACCTGGTGACATACTGGATGAGCTGGAAAGCGTTCAGACGGAGTGTTAGACAAGGACGTCTTCACCCATAGGGTCAGTGGAAAATAAACATAAAGCAACATTGAGATGGCATCTTTTTCTGACACACCAGTTGGATGAACTGGATTCTCGGCGCCTCACATCCTGTCCCAGCCGTGCAGGTAGGCGCACACGTGCTGGTTTGGGGTCTTTACATCTGGGCTGCCTGACTGGGCCCCCAATCCGTGGTGGTCACTGCCATTCTTCCCTGGGAATCAAGGTCCCCCTGGGGTTTGTTAAATCCCATCCCAGGCCCAGCTGCCTTCTGCCATCCTGCATCTGCTCTGGGTACCAGGAGCTGGCTGCGAGCCCAGGAGGGCCGGCTGCGCCGAGGGACCCGCGACTAAGGAGCGCGGGAAACGGGTGGCGGGGAAGCTGCCTGCTCGGGAAGCCGGAGGCCGAGCTCACGTGCAAGGACCAGGACGAGGGGCCCGCCTCTCAGCGACAGGGACCCAGGCTGCTAACGCCCCCCAGTCCCCTCCCCACCGTTCGCCTCCTACAGCCCCGCGCCAGGGTCGGCCTAGGGGCCGCGCAGAGTGGAGGAAAAACGGCGGCGACGGAGGCGAGGGCAGCGGCGGGGGCGTGGGGCGTGGGGCGCTGCGCTGTGGACCGAGTCCAGAACCGCCCC